TCTCCTTAATTTTCAAAAAATAGTGTGGGCCATAATATGGTGGATCCACGCCTGCTGTGAACTCCATGCCCATTGTAAACAGCCGTTAACCCGCTTCAGCCGCCGACTTAGAATCCTAAGCTTTCCCCCAGTATCTCCACAACAAATATCAACCGTGAAATCAGTCAAATTTACACGTGTCATCACATGATTCAATGGTAATTTTTAAAGCAATAAGTCAAGTCTGCTAGTAAGAGACGTGTTAGATAAAGATAGCCGACTTAGACCGACCACTCATCTGCCACATCATCATAACCGCCCAACTTGCTTCCTCTAATCTCTGTCCTCCCGCCACGTGTTCTTTTACAACGGCTAGTTTTTAATTGGAATTCTATATTTAACTACTGTACCCACAAGATTTTTTAATTGGAATATTCGAGTCTTCTCTAGCAAATCTCAAATAGTTTTCGAAACAGATTTTTTTGCCTTTGATACTTGTTTGTTGAAAAACCCAAAAAGGAAAAATAAATTTTAAAAAAGCCATTTTTAATGAGAAAACTTGACTGTATATAAAGGGGAGTGATATATAGCAGTGCGTAAATATAGAAGATAGTTGAAAGTCGGTTCTTTGTTTCCTTTTACACTACAACCGTTACATCAATCCCCATTTACTCTCTGCGTCAAATTAGGGCTTCTCAAGATTTTGGAACGACGTACTGTACACAAATATATACTTCTGCCAGGAGGATTTATAGGAAGTGATACAGATTTGACTGTTTTTGGCTAGTGGGCATCTATTATCTTAAGATTTTAACTTGGGCTCTTGGTTATTTTGGGATAATTCTGATTTTTTTGTTGAAGTTAGGAAAAATGGCGTTGGGGAAGAAATTTGAGTCAATTGTGAACAGAGCAAATGAAGGGTACGGGCTGGGACTGGTGAGGAGTACATCATTTGGGAGGAAAAGGGTTGCTTTGTCGAATTTTAATTTGGAGTTTGATGGTCATGATAGTATTCTCAAGACGCCCACAAAGAGACAGTGCTATGAAGATTCATTTCTCTGTTCAGACAAGTCTGTTCTTGAAGTCCTGCCTCAGGATGTTCTGGTTAGTACACTTTTGCTTAATTAATTCTTTCAGTACTGTGAAAACTATGATTAATTGGTTTTTTTTTATTTTATTTTATGTATACGATTGATAGTGAATGATTTAATTCAGTGATTATCAGCAGTCTTTGTTAAAGTTTAATGGTTACAAAATAACTTGTTTGTGCCTGTCTTACTGAACTATGTTCTAACATGGTAAGATCTTTTTGTGATGCAGATTAGGATATTGTGTGGTGTGGAGCATGATGATTTGAAGAGGCTTGTTTTTGTATCAAAAACACTAAGAGATGCGGTAAGATTTTGTAGTCCTCAGAAAGATTTTGATTTCTGTCACTTTTTCCCCGGTGATTTGCATGAGTATGAATCTTGATTTGGGTTTTTACTTGAACAAAACAGACTTTGATTGCAAAGCATTGGCATTTTGCATACAGTACTCCAAGGAAGACTATCGGGTTCCAGAATGTGGACGATTTGGGCGAATTCAACGACTTTGAAGCTCCTAATGCTCCAAAGCAGTTGAGGGTTCCAAGGTCTCGATTGAGTGCGAAGAAGCTAACCGACATCTCAGTGACCTTGTTCTCATCTGGTAGCGAAGATGATTGGCCACGGAAAGATTTATTAATGGCAATGGAAACAGAGATATGAAATTGAGGTTTTGTATAGTTTGGAATTGTTTGTACATGTAGAAGCAATAGCTTTCAGGCCTGTTTTCTTCAACTATTCCATTGAAGATGGTTTGGCTTGTCTTTAATTGTTTGTGAACATGTATGTAGATGGAAGTCTCGAAGCGCCGTGCTGGCGCTTCTGTTTTGATGAAGATCTTAGGGTGTTGTGTACATAAGACATACTCGTTTTTATTTATTTGAATGAGTCTAATAAAATGTGTTCCTTTATAACTTTGTTGTTGGACTATTTTTCGTGTTGTTGCTGATCAGTAGCAGTATGTTTTCTTCGATTCAGGATGGTCTTGATCAAGATTTTTGGAGCGAATCTCTACGATAATTAATGAGAAAAGGGGAGGAAAATACTTAAAAAGAATACGATGTATAATTGCATTCAATATTCTTTATTTGACCTTGATATGCAATCTAATTTGATTGAGAGATGCTTGAGATTGACCAATTTAGGTCTTCGGAAAAGATAAATGTGGGTAAAAGATGGGGTCAACATTTTCTAATAAAAGTCAACGGGCTTTTATTCTCTCTGGTAATAGTATGTACGAGTTGGACGTTCTCCAACTTTTTCTCATGATAAAAGGATAAAACTTGTGGTCGGGTTACTCTCGAAGAGTACATGTAGAAGTGGTAGAAAATTATGTAGGTTCAATTCTTCAACCAAGTTTTACCTGCAAGATAATGTGATCTCTTGCAAATAAAATTGAACACCACATGAAAATCCCTAGCAATTGCAACTGGACCCAAGCCACGTGATCTGCTCTCTAAAAGTTAAATCAACGGTCGTGATTTAACCTTTTGAAACCTATTTTGGCCCAAAATCTGCATCGAACTGTATTGTTGGTGCCCCTAATTTTCACTTTCTAAGGTGCACAGTGCTCTGTATTTGAAGAGTTTGACGGCTCAGATTCGTTGTCTGCCACGCCAACAACTGCCATTCCCTCCATCTCTAAAGTAAGCAGGACACATGGTCTCTTGCTTTGTTCTTAAATTTCTCCATAAAGGGTAGATGGGAAAGGGTCTTCAAAACTTGCATAATGGACTTCTATGATGTCATCGTGGAACTCACGGTCGGTTTGATAAGTCTCAAATTACTTCTGAAATTAAGAAATTACTTTTAAATATGTTTGAAAAGTTAATTTTTTGAAATTGTTGTGTGTGACTAGAAATTTTTTAGAGAAAGTTGGTCTAAAACTCTTCTAAAAGAAGTATAAACAAAGAAGTCATGTCAAACTGACACTTGATATGTGTACGATGAAAGTGTTAAAATATGTCAAGTCCTTTGAGTTCTTACATAATTCATGCAATAGGTTAGTCTGTTCGTGCAATCTACTGTGTTGACCATTGAGCACGACTCTAATGGCTTATGGACATGTATCTTGAGCAAAACCTAAAAAAAAGCAAGGAAGGTAGGTTTCTTCTTCCTTCGCATATAACTATTCTCCACAAGGCGAGATGAAAATAAAGATATTCAAGACTTGCATGATGGGCATCTTTATTGGTATGGTGGGAGAGAGGAATTTAGGACGTGTAAGGTGGATATTGAACAACCAATGTAAATTTAGGTCACTTGTATTGTGAATTTTTGGGTTCCAATAGAACTGGCTTTGTTGTGGTGTTTATGGTGTTGCAGTTGATTGTGGTAGTTGCTTGGAAATTGACTTTGCTAAAAGACTTAGGGTCTGTTTGATTTGGAAGATTTTTTATGGAAATTGGAAATAAAATTTCATCTTTTCCAGAAAGTGTTGTCTGATAAATCATTTTTTGGTTTGGCTCACACACTTACCATTTTCCAGGTTGCGTTTTTTTTTTTGGCATTGAAAACAAATTCTATGGACAATTGTAAAAAAAAAAAATTCTTTTAATGGACAATTTTTATATAAAAAAAAAGGCCAAACGAACACCAAAAAAATCCAAAATTTCAACATTTTTCAGGTGGAAAATTATATCAATCAAACACAATTAATTGACAATTCTAGGGAAAATAATTCTAAACAATTCAATTCTCTGTAATTCATTTTTTTTCCATTCAAATTTCACTCTTACAATCAAACGAATTCTATAGTTAAATGATGTTTTGGAGAGAAGTGCTTGGTTTTATACTTCTATCCTTTTCTTTGACATAATTGTTTGAAGTTTCAACAAAAATTATAAAATATTTCTTTTATTATCTAAATTGACACTATAGACTCCATGAACTCTCAAGTGTTTTTGTACTATGATTCGCATCAAAGTCTATAAAAAAACATATAATGTCCAAAATTAAAATTTAAAAAGTCAAAAAGAGGAACAAAGTCAATCCGAAGATTTCAGATTTTTTTATTATATTATGAGAACACAAATTGAGAAACATGTTGAAAACACATCAAAATTGTCTTTAATTTTTGTCTTTTATGTTTTATATACTTTAAAAGTACAGAAATTATGAGATAATTATGAACTATTTATTCATGAGTTCGAGAATTATTATTGTATCTTAAAATTCCTCTTATGCTATTTGTTCTATGAATAATGCTATTTATCTCCACTGAGCATGAAAACACAGCTTACGTGGTGTTAATGTGACATTAAATGATATGTGAAATTAAATAAGACATTTAATTTCACCTTTCATTTAACCTATCATTTAAAGTCACCTAAATCGTATTTTCACCCCCATGGGGGATAAATAACATTACTCTTGTTTTATAAATCATTTGTTGCTTAAAATGCAGATCTTGAATATTTTACTCAACAAGAAACAAATGCCCAACAAGATTTACAAGAATCGAAGAACACGAAAACAAATATTCACCCAACAATTAAAAGAAAATCTCATAGTTATAATTTGAAAGAATTTTACATGTACAAATGAGATATTTGATCTTGTACAAAATAAAGATCTTGACTAAAATTGTTGCTTCGTTGCTTATAAGTTGAGTGTGTGAATCGAATTCGATGCATGCATCCTCCACTAACATAAAGGCAATTAGCTTTCTTGACTGTCATGTCAATAATCTAATCCATTATCATGGTGAGAAATAAGCCATAAGCTGATCTTTCTTACTTTCCAAACCTGCCTAAATCCTATTTAAGGCTGTCTCTTCTTGAAAACTCTCTTTCTGTCGCTCACACAAACAGTGGTGTTGCGTTGGTGCGTGGATTAATGGAATTATGTAGTTCAGTTTTAATCCCAATTTTGACTCCACTGTATTTCCTGCTAATAAATATCTCCCACAATTTTTTTCATCTTCACAAATTATCCATGGAGGAAAAACAAAAAACAACCTTTTTTCAAGGAACACTTTCCTTTCTTTGCTCAGACCCTCTATTCTCCACCATTTTCACTCTCTACATTCTGATTCTACTCTACTTCCCAGCTTTTTGTCATGGACTCATTTGCTCGCCAGTTCTATTTTTCACCTCAATTATCTTGCTCTATCTTCTCCGGCTCGGTGCAAGTCAAGAAGCCCAAAAGGAAGCGGGATCCGATTCGACACAGAAATTATTGCCGCAGAATGAAGAATTTTCTGATAATGATCTCTACCGGGTCTCGAATGAATCCGAAAGTGGTCCGAGCCCGAATTCGAATCCTGGTCCCAATTTTTTGGCTGATTGTTTTGTGGAATGGAACGTCAGGGCTCCGCTGGAGGTTATACATGAAGAATACGAAGGTGAAGGAGAAGGAAACGAGGGGTTTTGGGAGGAAAAGAAAGAGGCCCAGATGGCTATAATTGAGAAATATGCATCTCTGTCACTGTATTACCCTGCATCCGATACAGACACTTCATCGGACGGAGATTCCCCGACGATTGAAGACTTGGAGTTATCGGAGAATTTGTGGGAAGATGATGATAAAGAAGGGTTGATAGAGATTGAATTGGACGGAAAGAAGAATAATAGGGAAGTCGACGAAGATAATTTAATTGAGATTAATCTTTTTCCGTCGAGATGAGGTGGAATTTTCCGGCGTATTTTCGGACCAAGTTTAGATACAGTTAACTGTGTGATTAACTGAAGGGGAAACGTTTTCGGGTTTATGGGTTTTAGCAAATAGAGGGTTTACCGTTGTATTAATCCAAAGATTACTAATGATGAAGGTTTTGTAATGACTGATTTGTCCTTGCATTTTAAGAAACATTTTTTCTTGCACGACTTCTAGTATGCGAGACGATACAAAGCTAAACTTCTATTTCATATATCAATCCGTCACATTTGATATCGTATATTAAGTGTGTTCAACGTTTATCTAATTCTGAATTGTTTATATACTAATAAGTGATGTATGAATTTTCGAGAAGTAATGGATCTTGACGATCTTCCAAGACCGTTCGGATCTACAAGTGAATCAGTGAAGAATGTGATGTGGAAACAACTTTTTGTGAAGAACTTTTAGTTGGCATTTGGACATTACTTGTGGGCTTGAGAGACATGTGGTCATGCTAAAAGGTTTGTGAATGTTTTAGTGAAAGGGATTTCACATATAAAAGTCACTTTAGGTTCCTTCTCTATATGCAAGTAGTTGTGATGGCAACGGGGCGGGGCACCCTCACCCCGTCACGCCACACCCAGCCTTAGGCAGGGCGGGCTTCAAGGCGGGGGGTGCGGGGTGTTGGCCTATCCCGTTTGTTAGGATTTTTTTTTTTATTTCCAGTTAAAATATATATTCAAAATTTTAAAATCCAAAGCAAATAATATTCAAACTATTACATCAATATTCAAAGCAAGTACTCGTAACAAAAAATGTCCAAAACAATTTTTTTTTTTTAATTCTTTACGGGGCCCCGCGGGGACGGGGCGGGGCGGGGCGGGGAATGCCACCTCTAGCAAGTAGAATAATTGACACAATTATATATGCGAAAATAATCTATACAATTCGAATCAATGATGAAAAATACGTACATTGATCGGGAATTAAAATCTAATATAGCAAGAATTGTATTGAATTTTGAATATAGAATTAAAATGGATCAAATAAGAAACAATATTTTGAATAACAAAATCAGGATGAATTATACAGCCTATCAAAATTTATCGAATAGTAATATGTCTGGTGTTACATAATATTATTCTTTGTAGAATTAGAAAAAGAGAGTTTTCTTATCTTATCTTGATTTCTCCAATCAAGAAATGCATGAATCACGATCCACGCGCATAATTCAAATACTTCTCTATTTTTTTTCTAATTTGAGTGGTCAAAAAATTAAACGAAGTTATTTTTGTCAAAACAAGAAAGGCAATATTTTTAGCTTATGACTCCATTATTGGTTACCAAAAACCAATCTCATACACAGTGGATAGGAGATTAGTTCGGAATTAGTTAATACTACTAGATGTCCAAATATATTTACAATCGAAAAGATTAAAGAGAAAGAAACACACAATTATAGTATTATTATTAATATTGAATTAATATCTGATTTTTGTACAAATAAACTTCAGATTTTATTTTTGAAATTGGATCTTGGAAGATACTGTTGGGTGTAATTTCTACATGGGAAGAATACACAACTCAGACCTTTACTTTACCACATTTCAAAACTCCGACATAAGTTTTGAAGTTTCAAAAATCAGGCCACAATTCGGAATAATATATTAAATTTAATTATACATAGAATATTATTAATTAAGGAAACAAATAACATCATCCTGTAATTAAGGAATTCGTTACTATTTAAACCCGAATTCTTCTCA